TAGTAGTATATATATATATATATATATATATATATATATATATATATATATATATATATATATATCATGCCCAAGGCTGCTTCTCTCAAGATTTCTAGAACTTAGAACTTCAGAAACGAATGAAAACGAGTCACTACCTACTACGCATAACCGAAACAGACAGTAGTTCCAAAATATCCAGTTAAACTTATTATAATTTCTCGTTAACATCATCAAGTTTTAATAAAATTATAGCAGCAATGAAATGTGTAAGTGCACACATCATGATGGAGATTCTGCCTTATCGGATTTAGCGACTTTACTGGTGCAATAAAATCACAAGGAACAAGTCGTGTACCTAAAATATATAAATTATATGGAAATATCAACAAATAACAACAAAACACCAGAATACTATAATCAGAAATTCAAGGAGCACACTTCTATACCACATATATCTTGGATAAATCTGCCAAAAAAGGCACATGGCGCCAAAAGTTTATTTTAATTTATCAGACGGTTTTGCATTTCAATACAGTAACGGTAATGGAAAGAAAAAAAGCAAAACATTCCTTGATGTAAAAGTTGGTAAAAAGCATGTTGGCCATTAGTTCCAGGTTCACCCCAAACAATGGGTCCAGTGGGAAAATCGACACGATTTCCATCCCTGAAAAATTGAATAAAGTATGAGTCAATTTAAATCATTGTAAGCTCGGATGTTATTTATATAATTTAAACACTCCAATGGTAACAGCCAAAAAACACTGACAAAACTGACCGCATTACAAACTTTCCGTTACTCTCCATATCACCCTGCTGAAAGTAAGCTGCGAATCGATGCAAATATTGATCATATGGAAGGAGAGCATGTGTTTCAGCTTTAAAACAATTGATGTAAAGGACGCCCAGTAAAGCCATAATTATTGGTATCTGCAAAAGGATGTATTGTTTCAAATATATTTCTTTAAATAAAATGGCTTTCGAACATTTTTGTCTCTGATTATCACAAGAAGAGAGCATCTTGAGTAAAATTCCTCTGGCAAATATATTCCTGTGAAGTAGACTGATGCCATTATCAAAAATCCCTTGAGTACCTTTCATATTTCGATGTATAACAAAAGGGGAAAAAACAAACATTTCTTTCAATTGGTTCATTAAGGAAATGTTCATCAGCAGCGTTTGCGCCTTTCAACAACTTATTGAAGTTATCGAAACCAATATGCACGGCAATAGAAAGGCCAATAGCAGACCATAACGAATAACGACCTCCGACCCAATCCCAGAATCCAAACATGTTATTTTCATCAATACCAAACTCACGAACTTTTGGACCATTTGTTGACAGTGCTACGAAATGTTTAGCAACTGCCGTAGGATTCTGTAAATACGACCACAAAGATTTCTTAGGCAGATGACAAGCCCTCGACTTCCTCAAAAACATCGCCATAAATGCTACAGAGCTTTACATACCGTATATGATTGCCGTTGATAGCTGTAACCGACTGTTTCGGTTCAGCGAACACACATAAAAAAGAATTCTAAATAAATTTAAAAAAAATTTACTAAAAAAAAAAGAAAATTTCTAATAAAGTCGAATACCTGTGCTTTGCTCAAGAACCATTCTTTAGCTGACGTGGCGTTAGTGATTGTCTCCTGTGTTGTAAATGTTTTCGACGCAATGATAAATATCGTTGTTTCGGGCTTAATTTTCTTCAGCACCTGAAAAGTCAAGAAAACAAAATGAAATTATTAAAAAAAAGAATGTTATTCTGCTGGAGATTTTCAGCGCAAGCATACCTCTGCTAAATGCGTACCATCGATGTTTGAAACGAAGTGAACGTCTGGTCCAATCTGATAATGCTTGAGTGCTTCCGTTACCATTAACGGTCCCTAAAAGGACCTTCTTCAGAAAACGGTGCCGCATATTTTAACAGAACTGAATCAAAATTTTCAAATCTCATAGAGTGAAAACAAACCAAATCAGAACCTCCGATGCCAATATTGACAACATCGGTAATTGCTTCACCTGTGTAACCCTTCCAAGTTCCACTGATAACTTGATCACAAAATGTTTTCATATGCTCCAGTACGCTATTAACATCGTTTGTCACCTAAAAGACTCATTCGACAAGGCAGAAAATCTTTCTACTTACCCGCTATCCAAATGAATTAAAGATAAGGGTTAATCATAGTGTAGGAATGACAAAGGTCAAGTAAGAAAACAAAAGAGTGGACGACCCAAAATTTCCAATTAATAATCACCTATAAGTGAGAGTCATGCGGTCTCATCATCAAAAACTATTAGACGACTCTTAGTAATGGCCATAGAATGATTATTTATGCAAGATCCACTCAGTGGGAGATGGTTATCTTGAATAACCAATAATAATCTCAACAGTCTAGCTGAAATTACTTGAGGGAATAAACAACAATAAATATTTCGGTAATATTTCACAAAAAACATACAAAACATCAAAAAATGGTGATCGGTAGAGAAAAAATGGCTTTACATTTTGTTCATCTAATGTCAAAGATTTATTATTAACGTTCCTTAAAGCGGTATGCAAAACGGCACGCCCTTCAGTGAAGTTGATCTTTTTCCCACTGAACATATCCTGTCGCATATTCAAAACGTTCCTTGAATTCGCCTAAAATAACTTTTCAGTTTCATTTTTCTTCAAACTATAAAATTATATTTATTACAAACATCCTTGATTATTTATTGCTGACAACTTTAAATAGTGATGTACATCCACACATATCAGTATATTTCCAATTTGTTTCTTTTAAGAGTTATTACAATGACAGATTAATCGCCAACAGAAATACTAACTAGATTGAACAATTTCTTCATCGTTTCTTCATTAATAATATTTTTTGAATAATCGAAGAGAATCGGTCCATCTGGTGTATCCATTGTCAAACTGCAAAATCTTTCCGATAAAAGGTACACAGTTTACTTTCCTGTTCTATGTTTCTAATGCTTCCAACTAACTAACCTGTATTTTTGAAACCGTTGTGAATCCTGCTTAAACAGATCAACCATTTTCAGATATTTACATTCTGATTCAAAATGCTGTCGGAGCTGTACAAATGCGGGATCCTTGTGGAGCGACATCCGATTTGCGATATGACGATCAGCTGTAACACACTTTGTATAATTTCTTAAAATCGTCTTAATTTATTAAAATTTATTAAACGACAAAACAACAAATAAACCAGGACCAAACATCATCGATGTTTATTTTAAACATAATAATTCATAGCCATAAGTGTACTTCAACAATGACTACCAAAAAGCCTTTCGCATTATAAAGACACATTGCAAGAGTATTTATAAATTTACTTTAACAGTTTTTCTTTTATAAGTAATTGTTGTCCGCAACTCATACCTCTTGACCTGTCGTTTAGTGAGGTATATTTTACATCACAGGTAAGCAAAATCAACTTTCCGAATGTTATGTGACTGTTTGCATAGCCAAAAATTCACTTTCATGGGTATGACTCAAACTGATTGTCATGCTTATTGGCAAGCGTATTTTCTTGGATCTCCTGTATGACTCAGTAGTTCATTACTTTCTTTCCTAACCACAACGGGACATTTAACGGAATGGGCTGTGAGATTGTAGCACAAAATGAAAGCCGGATTTTTAAAGCTAAATTCAAATAATCTCAATGGTTTTGAGGAACAGAAGACAAACAGTCATGTCATGCCCAGTAACCAAGCCGTCCTTCTCTTCCCATCCTTAAAATGCATGCAAAATTGGCGTGTGTATGCGTATTACACTAAAATCGATCCATAGTGTTGGGTTTTCATTGATGTAGTGTGTAACAGAACAAAACTGCTGGCAGAGAGTTTCACAGCTGCAACTCCATCCTCCCCTTATACTATTTCGCATATTGTTCAATTGCACTGTTAGCATGCTACATTTACAATGTTTCATAACACTTTTAATGCACACGGTCTCTCAAATTGACAGTATATTAGCCCTAGTATTATGTGAAATGCAACTCGAATTTGTAAGAATATTCAGCGGCAAACTATTTTGTATCCTAAATTATTGCAAAAAATTGTTGGGATTCAGATGGATACTGGAGGAAAATTAGTTTTCTTTCATCAAATGTGTTGCATGCTATGAAAGCAGGAGCATCTACTGTTCCCAGGTACCACACAAAGACATCAGGTTAAACCATGACACACTACCTATTCCCTTGACTGTTTGCGATGCTGAGGACAACAGCGTAATCATCGTTTAAGGTGCTCGAGGCTGAAGTTACGGCTGTACTTCGTAGCTCTGTTCGTCGTCTTATCAACCAAACAGATCGATACAACAAGCTGATTCGACTCGACCCGACCTTCCTACTTCCAATGTAACCCAATCAACGCTTATTTTTCTCTTTCTATAAGCAATATGATGAAACATTAGGCAACAACAAACGACAAAATTTGCATAAAAATTAGATCCTCAATTTCAGTTCATTCTGTTACCAAATTGTATGCTTAAACAAATACCTTGTCGAAATGCGAAATGTTTAAATGCTAATCCTGGTGGGACGTAACACTCTGTAAGTTACCAAAACCTAAGTTTAACTCTAGAAAAGAAAAATAAACACTGGAAGGTTTATATTTGGATACTTTGCTACGGCTCGAATAACCTTATTGAATATAGATGTATCATCTTAACATTAAACTGAATTCAATTACTTGGCAAAATTAAGGAAGGAAAACACTTGAAAATGCACATGTTGCAATTTATCAAATTCATTTGGGTCCCTTTTTACATAAACTCGATTTATCACTGCATTTTGAAATTAGTATTTCATTGTACAACATTTAAAAAATAATGGAAAACAAAGGACCGAACAACGAACTTTAAATTATATTTATTACAGATCGCTAACAAAAGCATAAACATTCACATTAGGTAGCTCATATTACTAGCTTACTTAATATGGTTTTTTAATTACACATTATTCATTCGACGACACATAAAATTAAGTGGCATATTCGAAACAACAATCCCCTTACCTAAACTGTGTCCCATACATACCACGTAACTCCTGGTTTAAACGATGCTTCGCAGCTAAAGATCGGATGAGTCACTGCTTTCATTCTTTAAGGCAAAAGCTATTCATTACAGGTTAGCGCTGTTGTTGTTGGGAAAGTTAGAGCTCAGTCTGTCTCGAAAATATAAGGGAGTTATCAAAATCAATGCAATATTTACACCGTGCCGTTGTTGAACCGTATGGAAGACATGTGTGTCCGATACATTCGCAACAACCTGTATGAAACCACCGCAGCATCGATGCACCAAGAATCTATAACGACAGAACTTAAGTCATTTATTTATACAAACAAACTTCAAACTTGACCCATGCAGAAAGAATGAAGGGTAAGAAAAAACAAAAAGGTAAATCACCAAACACTGTCGACTGCATTGCTTATGCGACATACATTTGTCAAGATAAACTACCGTGCAATTCGTTTCTCGGTGAGTCTTCTCCAGCACTTTCATATTTTGACCTGTAAATTCTTCATATTTTTCTCCTTGATTTCAACAGCTTTGACGGCTGAAGAGTTCAACTGTGCCAAGAAATACAGAAAAAAAGTAGTATCGCAATACATAGTACAACAGCGCAAGAATATACCTCTGCGATCAAATGAGTATTCGCGTAAGGCTGAGAATGTGTAAGTTGTGCCAACCTTATTCACTCTAAAACAGATTCACTTCCAACTGGATATTATTCATGCATAAATGTAATGATTTAATTAGTCAAGACTGACAGTAAAGGTGACATGCAAAATGAAGTAACATTAAATTGCCGCATATAACTTATTTTGTATACAAATTGCAACATGCAATGACCAGATACATAGAAGAAAAGAAAATGAGCTATTCTATTTATTGCAAATAAATTTCAAAATGCATTTCAAAAAAAAAAAGATACAGTGCGACTTTGTCGAAAACAATGATATCTTCATCATCCTGATCGAATCGATCAACATAACTGTTCAGGTGCAATGCCTCCTTGTGTGGATTACAAAGTCCTGTAATATAAAATGGACAAAGCTGAATTTCAACCCAGCAAATACCAAATTTACCACTGCACTAACACGTTAAACATTTCAATCGTTCTCCTACTAACTTTTTTATCTATTATTGATAGCAAAAAGAAAACAGATGAAACCTGAAATGAGGTGAGTAGTACTGTTAGAAAATCTAAACATCATTAAATAGGGTGTTGACAATATTGTTTTTTCAATCTTGGCAATGGTGCGCAGTGCTAAACTTGTGCAATGTGCAATTACACTTGCAGTACACGTTAAAATTCTTTTAAAATTTTTATTTGGAATTTCAACTGAACTTAGTTTTGGATTTTTGCGCAGCAACATTAACAGCTCCATCAGAGTATGTTTCTAATGATGCTTCCCTGGTGTAACACAGTATTTATCATAGTAAGCAGTTATATAGCATTTATTCACCGATATCATTTAAAAAATGCAAGAAAGATAACATACCGACACAAGCGCAGCATTGCATGTATTGCTTATCAAGGCACTGAATGCATTCATTGCAGCAAGAGCAGTTGTTATGCAAAATACTGTCACGATTGATGGAACAGTTACAAGCTTTCAGTAACATACATTTACTCACTCGAGGGCCACATTCTGTCTCGTTACAATCCAATGCTGCTTGCGAAAAATCCTGCAGAAATATACATAACACCAGCAGCAGCACCCATACGACAATATTCGCTACCATTTCATTCTAAATCATATCATTCTGATCAGTGAAACATGTTCAATAGACCTTTAGGTTGCTCATAATCGTCTTTACACTTAAACGATAAGAACGACTCTTCTCGACTCGAATAAATGTGAAGACCTAAGAATAATGTATCAGCAATAACTCCAATAACCTGATCGATCAAATAGAATAACATACTGAATAATTATTCAGTTTGACACTGGTGCTGTAGACATATTTCAATCCAAAATCTGAATGGAATTATATATTCAGGTCCGAACGATTTCTGTCCATTACTCACATATTCTTCCCTTCTTTATTGAAACATCAGAAAAATGAATTTGAATGCTTCCAAGAAGAACGACAGTGTAATATCAGTAAGAATTAGAAGGGAGTTAGATAAACGTAGCATGAGAAGTTATTTTCTCCAAGCTACTTTTCAGTGTTGAGATTTTTTTCGAAAAAGTTACGGGAAGTAAAAGTAGTCTGAAAAGTCATTTTATGTAGAAAAAACTGTCTGTAAAAGTCAAAATAAAGATTTGTTGGGGAAAAAGATTTGGACAGTCAAACCTTAATAAAATATTACCGGATACAGCGTATCCGTAAAAGAGACTTATTATCACTCCAACTATGCGGATAATATTAATGTATAGAGTAAAACAGAATACTGGGGAAAGAATGAAATATCTTGCAGCTTATTCTAACAGAAAAATATCAAAGCTTGAGAGAGCGGGAAGAAAAATGACTTCAGAGAATGTTTGCTAAGGACAAATTACTATTCTATAGTGTCCTTAGTCGTTAATTACTTCGCTTCCTACTGAAGGCTAATGATCGACTTATTCGACATATAGCAGGGCAGCTGACTGGAGATAAAACACTGCTGAACATTCGGTCCGTTCCGGTAAGCTGCCAATAATCAGTAACACCGTCAACATCATTTACTTTAATTTACCCTAACTCGCTCTAACTTATTCAATTCTCTCTCTTTAACTTATACATTACTCCGACTCTCTTTAATCACTTAGCTCTCTCCAATTCACTTAACTCCTCAGGAGAAACAATGAATGAAGGCAGGCACAAATGTGACGTGAGATACTGCAGATGTCAGTGGCTGTAGTTGTGAATGAGAGTGTTCGAAACAGGAGAGTGCAAAGATGTCGAAGTGTCACAAACAATGTATTGCCAGAGAAGGAGGGTTGCGAACTGGACAGATGTTTCCCTCGTCGTTGACTTGCTGCGTGGTACACGTACGTTTACTTTATTGGTAGGTATAGGATTGGGAAATCAAGTTGTTCGCAAATGGTTCTAAGTAGTTGGCAGAATTGAAGTACTCAAATAACCAATGATCCTAGTCGCTGAGATGTTATATACAGAGGTATTTGTTTGGATCAAGCCTTGTAGAGATAAGCTTTGAATGAGAAGTCAGGCGGTCACCATGATACTTTGTTGGACATATCATCATACCAACTGTCCAAGCCATCTGTTCCGGACATGAGGTGTGTTTACTTCGGATAGATTCATTCATTTGTCGTTCGAACGCTTCCACTTATTCGGTTTTGTATGAGAGTAGGGAAAATGAAATAGTTTGTTGCAGAAGTACCGCGGCATTAGCGTGTTATAGAAAGAATACTTGACCACTTGTCGGTCCAGAGAGAATTTATTGCATCTAATTTAATCAAAATTTCTATTTTTGGATTGGAAAATTTCTTCTAAAATTTTGGAAGTTGCTTTTGGTTCTTTGATTTTTTTTACCTGCTAGTTTTACTTTGAGTTATATGTAGGATTTTGGAAGTATATTGGGGATTATGTTAATATCTCAGATTGTTACTGGTTTTTTATTCAACTTTTTATTATACTGTTGGTGTGAAGAGTGAAAAAACTATGATTACCTAGGTGGAGAAGTACTTGGAAAGCGGTGAAAGATTATCAATGAAGTATGCAGTCAAAGTTGACTCATGGCAGTAATGTTATAACAATATGGTTCAAACTTTCATAGCTTTTCGTGTAGATTCGGTTAAAATTCAGGAGGAGATGATAAACTTCAGAAGCTTTCGGTTGCCATCTGTCGTCTCTACCTCGATCGAAATTTACTAGCTCACCATTTTCCCCATTTAAACATCTGCTTTTCATTTTTGTGATTACCCTATCCTACTAGGACATACATTTTGTGATGAGATTTACTTTTATTTTATTTACAAGTATTCCAATCACTTGTAAAATATATTTTAACATTTTATTGGCAAAATGTTAAATGTTAGTTTTGACGCCTATAATGGGAAAATAATTTGTTTCCTAATGTATACACAAAAAAGAGTGATACGAAGAAATGCGGAAAGATGAGATCAGAGTAAAAGACAACACAGTGGTTCCATTAAAGGTAACACTGGGCATTAAAACGATAGCAGTGCTCATCCAAGTCCATTTTTTATCGGCTTCCATAGCACTTTGGGAGATATGAGTATTTAGTGTAATGAGCTCGGGCTGAATATGAGAGATCTGTTGGGCATACTTAATCTTTATCGAAATTGGGACATCAATTTGTTGTGCCGCCTAGGACAGTCTATCTTATAGTGACTAAAAGCGCCATCATCGAGGACAAGGACCCGTACCCCTTGTGACGGCTAGCAGGACGGAGGAGTAAAACGAGATTACAACCTGATGGAGAGGATGGATATCATCTAACCACTGAACAGCTGTCTTTTCTTGCTCTGATTTCGTATATTCAAATTTGTATTGTATTTCCTTTCAACAACCGAACATTTTCATAAAGACAGAAGTGCTAGCCTCACGAAACATATAAGGACTGCACTGCTGCTAAGTGATCCCAAGAATTATTTTGGTGTTCTAAGGAGAGATATATAACTTTGTTTTGGAAGTTTTGAAGAATTTGTAATATCCGATCAAATAACGGTGAGCAATCGGTTGTCTGATCAGATAGATGATGTAATCTGATCTGACTGGATGGTTATCCGGATCACCGCATATATAGTATTCGAAATTCCATAACAGAAAAGGCACACAGAAATAGATAACTTTCCCAGAATTTTGCTGATGGAAACTTACCCATGTTGCATCAGATTAACAAAAACTTACTGCCATATTTATTTTCGCTCATATGCTTATAGAATCCGTCTAAGTTGTCCGCTCATTCTATGTACTTTAAATTGATTCGAAATCAGAAACAGAGGTTGAAAAATAGTCATTCTCTACCTTCAAGGACTTTTAAATTTTAGTTCCTGTATGATGGCTATGTCTTCTGCCTTTTTAAGCCATCGTTTTTCTGCTTATCTACTAACTCTTCTGTTCTCTTTGGCTTGTATCTTTACTTTTTTATTAGACTTCTGCAAAATTTTCAATCAGTAAACCAGTTCACCTGTTAGTGCATTTTTAATCCATGTATTGTTACTATTCAAAATTCATTTTCTCGCCATAACTTGAATTTCTAATTGAATGTCTCTGCTTGTTATTGCTTCACCTTCTATCATTCAAAAAAGAATTCGAACGAATTCAGTCCAATACTTCCGGACAGGGAAAATCGAGTGGAGAGCAAAAGAACAGATAGATGAGGCATGGACGAATAACATCCAAAGGATAAGACAGGAATCTTTTGTCGGACTGTTGTCTTTATTTCTTGGCGGCATCATGATACGATGTGTCGTTTTCCTGATCAGTTAGGTTGTTACTTTTTAGTGCCACAGAAAAAGTTAGCGAGGAGCATATTATTCATCCCGAAATGCCTCCTTTTGGGAAATAATATCTTGTGATAGAAGGGACACAGGAAAAACGAATTTTCCGAATTACCATATTTTTCTTCCTACTTCAAAATCTTCCTTTTTTAAAGATTCCGATTAATGGAACATTTGGGTGACGGAATGGATGAGGGTTGTGTAGGCCTGATTTTGAGATTAGGAGGTAGCAACGATTGCTTTCCTATAGGAAAGCTATCATTTCGATGTAAAATTATCCTAACAACATCAGGAGGTATATTGTAGAAAGGTCTATTATTAATAATGATCCGTGCTGTAAAGTATTTAAAAGGAAGTGATATGCTAGTTTAAATAGAATAGCTTTTTCGGAAAGAAGCGATAATAGCCCGTCCAGCTGTCAGGTATTGCTACAAGAGCCATTGAGATAGGCCTACATTTTTCATTTCAAAAAAATACAATTTATTATTACTGTTAAAAACTTGCGTTTAAACGCACTTGCTGTCCCGGTGACAACTTCTCAATAGTTCTCTTTTTTGTCTATATTTCCCTATGCTTCCTTTCCCTTAATTTACGTCTCTTACGACTGTAAAAACCCAAATATTGTTCAAAAGAGCGACGTGATACTCACGGACCAGTTCTAATCATTGTGTTGTCAATGGAGAGTATACATGGAAAGAGTTGCCTAACTCATGCTATATTCACCCTTTTTTTCTTTTTTTTTCCAATGAAATTGGCGATTTTTTTTAGGGAGACTTCGGATACCAATCTTTCTGAGTATCAGAATAATTTGTTCTGGGGAAAATTGGTTTATCTCAGCTGAGTTACCTGTTCAATTATAGCAGCTAACCAGAAGATTAGAATTGTAACTATTTTCTCGGTAAATCAAAATTATGCTTGTTTCGTACCAATATTTCGTTTTTTGTTTCATACCAATATTTCGGACCATTCCAGCTTATCAATTTTTCATGTTTAAATTTGAGATTACCTGTTGTTATAGTTCTTAAATATTCCGGCTATTGTGTTTCCTCTCTTAACACTGTGTCTCTATTATTAAGTATCACTGGGATTACATGAAGCTTATAGTTAACACCAGTATTCAATTATGAGGTTGAGTGCGCAGATGTTTGTAACAGTTTATATAATCTTAATGACCGTTCATCACTATCAAGTATGATCTCATTCTTGCCAGTTCCCTCTCGTTGTGTATTATTATATTTTCAAAAAAGGAAAAAAGAAAAATTGGATTTTGAAAACTGAAAGACGGGAAAGGGGAGAAAACGGTAATGACGGAAGGAAGACGAGGGGATAAGCATGTCGCTTACATATTTTGGGCATCAGCGTTTAAGTATTGTACGACAGATTGCTTTTGAGATTTTATGTTCGGCTAATTTGTAGTTCCAATGTTATAATGTCACACCGTAATTTGTTGATAACTTTTATCTGCAGTGTCAACTGTGAGATGAAACTATATGAAACTGGTTATAAAAAGCGTATGCAACAGAAAATTCAATTATTCATTGCAGTTGTTTTGATGGACAGCATTTTGTAACATTATCGTTGTTTGTACAATGAATGTGATAAGGCGATTCCTTTAGGATACCACTGGAGGGTGGCGAGGAAGGGAAGGAGAAATGTTTCTTTCAAGGTCTTCAGGAAATGATTCGTAATGGAAAATTTAAATTTCGAAGAAAAAGAGGTCTATCATGTATAGTGACAATTATGTAATTTTAGTGCTTTTACATAAATGAGTGGAAACGGGCAGAAAAGGGGTAGAGTAAATGTAGAGATGATGGTTCAGCGGGTGAACCCTTCACCGGATAATTGTATTTGGTTTACTACATATGCTTATTGGTCGAACGATTAGCTGCTTCTAATTATTAATCGGGTGAAATTTCTTCGATCTCCCTATTTAGCAACTTCTTTCCCTCTATTTGCATAAAAAACCGCAGTAGTAAGAACAGGTTTCATTAATGCCCTGAAACCTGATATAAATATTAGGGTAGTAGGATTTGCAGATTTGTGTCCATAGTATTGCAATTTGTCTTAAAAAGTTCCAAATTCAAAACGGCACTCTTCATATTATATATATGTATATGTATATGTATATTTTGGCGGAACGATCTGTCTATAAGAGTTAACAAGAAAATTGGTTAAGCGCAATGTTACCGTAAGGGACAACTGCGCAAATATAATATGGTAGGCTGCTTGGGATGATACATTTATTGGTAGGACCGAAAATTCGATTTTGACGTTACAGATTTCATGTAGTGCCTGTTTCCGTGAGATGTGGGAGTGAGGACAGTGTGATATACTTGTCAATCCAGCACTAATCACAGTGATGAATTACATATTTGCATTATTTGATCGGTTATCTTTATCTGCCCTCCTTTTTTCCTATTCGATTTTTTTTTCTTTTCAATATAACGCAAGAAACCTATCATCAAATATCGTAGCTTAACTCTACCAATATTTTTGAATTTTAAAATGAAGTTGGGAGGGGAGGGAAGATACAGGGCGGAATGAGTAATAGGGAAATGAGAGGCTCCGCAAAAGGTCTAGAGGCAAAAAGGGAAGATGAGAAGAATCGGCAAAGGGTGTCCATTGGGGGTCCATTGAGGTTCCCGCCAAGCAGAATGTCTCCCCTTCTCCTAGTCTTTGCCATTATGTGTGTACCAAAGGAGGGTGACAGGTCGGAGCTTTTGGAGGGCCCTATGAACGACCCCTCCACCTCATAGTTTGAATGGACATCACAGCTGTTTCCTTTCCCGCCTGCCTTTCTCCCTCCCTCCTCTTCACATTTCATTCCCCTCTGGCACTTATTTCATCTTTCCACTCACCATTTTTGCCGCAGACTTATCTTCCAGTGTGCGATCTTTCTGTTCATCGGTACCATATATCTAAGGTCCTATCTTAAGCAAAACGTACATTCTAGAAGTCACTAGTGAGCCAAGAGCACCTCATTTTATCACATCTCTCTGAGAAAAATGTATTGGACTGGAGAGATTAAGAATGGGATAAAACTCTCTTTATTTTCAGTCAAAGTACACAACTGCTAAATAACAGGTAATCTTGAAGTACCGGACAAGCAGTGAGGAGTTACCGAGAGGTGACTTCCAGGAGATTACCTCATGGGGAAATGGTAACAAAAGGAACAATTGCATAGCTCTTAACAACATATGAAAATTAGAGTAGAGAGAAGCGAAGGGGTGATCACGATGGATGCTACACCGCGCGCATAATGGATGGAATAGTTCTGAAGGAAGCTTTTTTTATACATTATCGTATGCTAAATTGCGTCTTGGTTTGATTCATCATTCCGGTGATACCGTTCAGTCAACTCACGATACCGCAGTATAGTAGGCAAGTGCTCCGCACAAACCATAAATTCCCAAATAGCGAATTTCAACGTCTCAGGAGGAAATCCTCTTCTCCCAGCTCATAGTTGTTTCTGATACTCATAAGTTTGAGGAAAGAGGGATATACGTCAAACCCGGAGTGTGAGATGACAGTGGAAATGGCCGTGTACTGTTCTCTCTTCCAGAAGATAAAATCGAGATTGGGCGAGAGGAGTGGAAAAATACGGGGAATCTCTGGGGAGATAATCCAATGCCAAGTTTTCTATGCGTATAGCTTCCCGAAAGCGCACGTGAAGTTTCGGAACAGGCACCCTTCTTGCATGATCATCGGCAGTATATGTGATTTGTCTCTGCGTCTGTTATTTGTTAGGACGTTCATTTCCTCTCGATGTGCAGAGAACAAAGCACGTCTCATCTTCCTCTTCCCCTCTTTTGACCATTTATTCAGCTGGCTATAGCATACATGAATTTTTGTCTCTTGTGTTCTCTTTTTCCCTTGTGAACTCTTTGCTATACATTTTACCATCTGTACTTCCTCTTAGACACAACAATGAAGCAGTACGTTTTCTCTTCTCTCGCAACATGTGGGGGAGAAAGCGAGAGACGGGCGGATCTAAGAGGAGGTTTGCCTGTATATGTCTGCCCTGTTGCTAGTAGCAGTTGTGACTGACTGGGGGGACCATTCCGATCCGAACTTAACTGAACGGAATGGTCCGGACTGACCGAGTGGAGGGACAGTTTTGAAGGGGTAGAGGAGTGAATTGTGAGGAGGATTTTTATGTGTCAGGTAATTATATTTTTGCAGGCATCTTTCAGGAGGAAGAAGGAACAGTGTAGGCCACACAGACATCATTCTGGGAGTTATCCTGGCTTGACCGCGATTACCACCATCACCATCTAACATTTATAGTATCACGGATCGAATGAGCCAAAAGGGTCGGTTGGCTGCCGGCCCTGGTTATTCTTCTTATTGCCTCTCGTTATTGTTATTCGTCCCTTTCTGTTATCGCCATTTGGCTCTTCTTACTGCTCTCATTATTAATACTGTTGCTCATATATCCGTCAGTGTTATTGTTGGCCGCATACTGTCCGACAGTCTCTCCAGTGGATATCCTGCGGCGAGTCACCGTTATGAGTAGCGCTGCTGACGATGGCGCCGATGAAGTGAAAGTCTTCCGCAGGTTTGTCCGATTTCACTCCGAAATTCCATTAGCCAGGACTACTAAGTATTACAGTAAATTGTGCTGTTGATGTCCTAAAGCTTTCCTTCGTTACATTTACCGGTTTCCGAAAACCATGAAATTTAAACAGGGGTGATCTGACAAGTGAACGAAGGAAGGGAGAAAGAGGAAAAAACGAAGGGGTTCTGTCAGCCAGCCTTCATGAGAAGGGTCGTTTTTATCGGCTTCCGGTACTGCTTCTTATTTACTTTTTCTTCTCTTCCGTTTGCTTTTCCACTTTTTAAGTGTTTGTAAAAGTAGGCATATGAAACCAGCTTTAGCGTCTCTCTGAAATTTATTTTACCAAATCTGTTCAGAAACATTCTGCGAAGAGGTTATTTCCAAATTGTCCATCTAGGCTTAGCTGCTTGTGAACTAAAATGGTACCATTAGTGCATAATTCTCATGTGTCACAGTTCTATTATCATTTTCTGGATCTCTCTCTCTCTCTCCCTTTCCACACATACAACAATTATGCCTTTTTTATGTTTCTGTGCAATACGTTGAAGATGGCTGTTGAAATCATACTTTGCCTAAAGTTTATGTAGGATTCTGTTGCTGTCGTTACTACTTCTCTTCTGTGGTACATATATTCGGAAAATTTTCTGTGAGATAATTTTTGTTACCAAAAAAATTTTTTTTGAGACATCATAACTGCAAAATCTATCAATATTTTCACAATTCTGACATAATACTTTATGGTTAAAAGACTAAAGCAACTATAATCTGCTTCTTTATACGTTGCGTAAATCGCACTTTTTGTCGTTTTACAAATAGTTTTCATTTATGTGGAACAAGCGACAAACTTCCATGTTTTATTTTTCAGTTTTCCTAATCTAGACTACTTGTGAAACTTTTTGGACGGAGAGTAATTTGTGTAGCTCTGGAATACAATATGACAAACTTTTCTTCCTTGTTTTCATCTTATCTGTCGAAAAATAGACCCTATGATACCTCCCCCTTGAAAGAAAACCTTCTGTCAATCGCTATTCTATCTGATACATATTGTCTCCGTCATTGTTTGTTAGTTGATCCTGACGTTTGACATCAAACCTTTATATTGATATATAATAGTGAATCGTAGATGTATGAGTTAGCTAACCCATACTTCACCTCATGTGAAAACCAGGAGTATAATATATAATATGTTGGTAAGATACAGTGAGGGCCTTAGGAATGTTTAGTTTCATCTTTTATTATCATTTGCCGTATTCAAAGTAAGACTTATCAAAAGCAGTGGGAATTGTTACAAACAGTTGTGTTTTGCAGGAATGATGCGGATGATGTAGAAACGGCGCAGTCGTCGCATCAGTTAACGGAGGACAAAAAAGATGTGGCTCTGGAAACAGAGCTGGAAACAAGGACACCATCCTCCTCTATTATCGGTTTGACTTTTGTTAGATGACCAATCATTTTAGCACCAGCAAGCAACGGTCATTAGTCAGCGAAATATCTAGAACCTTCATCTCGTTTACGAGTAGTTAAAACTGCTTCATAGAGTGCCAATGTGGTATAGAACTTTCTAAGTCCAACAACTCATATAGCACAGCTCAGGTCTGAATGGGAAACATTCTAAGTCCTGTTTATTTTGTTGGTTCTGAAAATCAATGTATGTTATTCCTGATTTATATTTATGTATACATAAATTTATATTTATATATGCATAAATTTATATGATTTATATTTATGTATACATAAAGTTGGAAATCAATGTAGCTTAATGTTCTCCATTTGGTTACGGGATAAGTGCTGATTCGTTAGCCTAAAACATAAGCGACAGACTCCCAATTTATACTTAATTTCCTTAGTTTTGTTTGGTTGCCAAGTTTATTTCAAACGAGCGACTTCATTCTAAGTAGCTAATGGTAGAGTTTAAAGATATAGTGAGGGTTATCTGGTGCAGTAAATTATAGTTATCCCTAGAACGAACGCTTGTGTCTTGTTCCATTGAACCTTGTATTGGACTCCTTGCATTTTGACGGAAATGTTGATTTCTAGACGCAATTTGTTTTTCCATGTCTTTTCGCTTCTCTATAACATAACTTATTATTCTATGTTGTGATTGTTTTTACCTGTCTTTGCTGTTGTGGATTTTTTACTCCCACATGATGTCACATGTCATTCATTCTTAGCATGCGCATAGTTACTATCCCTAGCTATGGCAGATTGCATTCATCCCAGGAACAGGATAAAATTGCTTCGCACTTCAGAGAAGAGGCACTTTTTTCCGTAATAACTATGTGTAATGTTCGCGCCATAGCTCATCTCCCCTTTTGTGCATCCATTTTCCATTCAGGAGTTGTTAGCATCACAGCTGCTAGTCTTTCCATTCTGTTTTATCTATCGTTTCCCTTTCGTGCATATATTAACAACGGTACGTTTTGGGCTGTATTATATAAGCAGTTTGCTGCTTCGTCTTTAAGTGAAAAGGTGGACATCATATAGAAAGTGGTAATATGATAACAGTGGAAAGGGGAGAGTGATAGCAAGTAACGGTGATGATATCACGGTAGAAGATGCATCATAATACTAGAAGATAGAGAAGCAAGAAAAATTTGTCTAAAATAATAAAAAAGGCCAGAATAATCTGAATGGTACAGTGGTGAAAGCAAGAAAAATTTGTCTAAAATAATAAAAAAGGCCAGAATAATCTTAATGTTACAGTGGCGAAAATGCTTTTTTTTGATATGGGAGTCGACATAACGTTTGAAACATTTTTTTTTTTGTGAGAGCATATGATAAGAACTCGAAATTGAACGGATTTGACGATAACGATAATTATACGATAATTTGACGTAATGTGCAATGGAAAATAACGTAATGAACTGCGATGGGAGGTTATTTATATCTTGTTTTGCAGACTGTAGTTTATGTATATGAAAAACTGATAGTTTTTTTGAGTATGGCACATTCTGTTTTTTGCAGTCAACAATGTGGCCTTATTAGAACTTCGCTCATAATTTGTATTTAACTCAATCCTCTAAAAACGGAGAAGTGGTAAATAGGGAAGAAGCCAGGAAAGGAAATGAGGTGGGCAAAAGTTGAGGAAATAAAATGAAGATAGTGCTTTATATTTTAATCCATTTTGACCCATTGTTAAAGGACTTTTATTTTTGGTTTTTGTCTTTCTTTTAGCAACAAATAGACCGCATTTCTTTTTAGGGAACAAGTTGTTCCTTTTTGCTTCTTATGTGCCCTCAGTGTCTGGCTTTTTTAGATTGAGAAGCGTTGTCTCTTTCTGATAATTTTTCTTGTATTTGTGAGCTATAGAATGGTCGCTGATATGGAATAAGCCATAATATGTAGAAAGTTATGGTCACTTCTGCTTGGAATTATAAGGATTTCTATGACGACATAATTTCCTTACCTAGCGACATTATCACCAGCCGTTTTTCCTCCTTTTGTTTTTCACTGGCTCTGATCTCCCTGTTTTAAATTAAAAAACATGTCACGAACTGCAGAAGGAGTCAAGTTTTTTAACCTGTCCATTAATTTCTTTATGATGGTGGTATTTCGTCACTCACGCAACCGCTTGTTTGTCCTTCCGCAAGAATTTCTCTGTTAATTTCTCCATTTGTTTTGTTTGATGATAACGCTCCTGTTGACTGTTGTTGATGCCACCGAAAAACATTTCAACAATAAGTCATATATGAGTTGCATATTTTGAGTGGGAATCAGGACTAATAATGAAGGAGCAAGTAATTTTCAAAATAATTTATTGGTTGACATTGTGAGCCTCCTTTATGAGATCACAAATGGCCGTATCAAACGTGAACTGTTGCGTTCAATTACGCATTGAATGACGATTTCATTGGAATCTTGAAACGTTCAGCTTGTTTTTATTAGGGTTTTATATCATATCTTAGACAATGTATCTAATTTAATGAGGTTTATGTTCCTTTTAGGTTCGAAGCCTGGCGCTTTCGTGAAACCATCGCCTACTTTTCCAACTTTTTCAGCAGCCACTCTATCTCCAACTTATGGACCGCTGCCACTGTTTTATCCATTCTTCCTACCGGTTAGCGTTTTACTCTGTCATGTCTCTTTTAATATTTTTATAAATAAAACTTGATTTTCACCCGATGTAAGTGAAAATTTCCAAAGAATATAGCGGTGTATTGAGATTGATGTTTTATCAAGGTGCAAAGGAGGGAAAGAAATTGAAAATAAACTTGAATTGACTTAATATCGTGTCTAGAAAATATAAGAATATGTCATTCCCCAAAAAGTGTAGCTGAAAGTTAAAGAACGATATTGGTACAATATTGCTCTTAGACTATCCCAAACCAGCTTAATATTTAGTTTAAAGGGATTGAGAAGGCTTTGTATATTTAGGAAAATGCAAATTGTTCCGTAACATATTTTCATGAATGAGTTTGTCGAACAAGCTAGAAATAAGCCAGAGGAAAGTGATAAACTAGGTTGTGAAAATTTTGCAATTAATAATGTAAATGCTGCTCAGATGAGCAGCAGAAACCTTGAAAAAATGTGTGAAACGAATGAAATGTGCGGTGTGGTCCCCGCTTTGGAATGAGCCAAAAAGAGCTCCTTAGATGATTGATGCGCGTCGATTATGTATAATCTTGGGCTATTGGAGAACTGAGTTATGGGTTAAGATTTGCTCAGAAACAGCAAAATGATTGATTCTACAGCAGCAAGGACTGAAAGCATATGAGAAGGAGGCTGAATACGATGAATGCCTGAAGGCTTGCCTTGTTTTACTCCGTTTCCGTGATTGAATGCACTAATTTTCGAAATTTACTCTTGTTATGACCAGTCTCTGGTGAACATATTTGCTTGATTGATGCACTGGAATATAGGCTTGATTATGTCTACGTATCAGAATCAAATAAGGTCTTTCTTCCCACTTCCCCTAGTTTTGTTTTGTTCCATATGTTAGAATGATTGAAGTTTCTTTTTCCTACACATCGTACTGGTATATTAAATTTAGATCTCCAAGTAAGGTTAGATAAAGGAGTAAAAACTTGGCTAGTTTGGTGGCTGTCTTTCATAAATGATTATTTACAAACTTCTAAAAAACTTGCGAATAGAAAAGTACACGATCAAGAAACAAAAAGCTGTTATGATATCGATAGCCTTGTAAGTTCTGTGTCATTAATCATGAATAGCTATAAGCCCTTGTACATAATGAAATGTTTTTGCAGGCGGGTCTTTGATGCAGATCATGAATCGTGGGAAGCATAAAATTTATAGATTCAAACGAAGGCTAGATCTTTTGAAGAAGGATAGACCGCTGTTGTCAGAATAGAGATCCGTTCTGATATAAGCCTACTGGGAGTGGATGAAAAGAAGTACACAAGAGAAAATCAAGTTTCCCAATTAAAAGGGAAAATTTTCTAGATGAAAAAGAAATGAAATTACAAAACAGTAGTGATGCATGCAATGATGATCCTTTCATTTTTAAATGCCATTTGTTGGATAGGATAGATAGTTAGAGGTACTAATCAGAGGAAAAGTGAGAAAAATTGAAAAAAATCATAGGAATGGAGGTGTAACATTAAATGGTTAAATCTGCAAAGATAGGTACTATTCAGAGAAACAAAGTGGAACAGAGCAGTTGAGGAAGGGAGGAGAATGCATGGAGAAGGAAACAAGTACAAACGATAAGGCCATAAAGTTTAAGCATTTTATGTATAAATGAACACCGCAGTCTATAATTTTCAGACTCTAGACGTTACATTTCCGTAAAAAATGTGCTAGTACTTGGCTTAATTATGCAGTAGATGAGCAATTTTTTATTTGCATAATCAAACTGTTGTTTAATCATTTATTCGAAGAATACTGATTATTTGTCCAACATTTTTTATTTGTTCAAAATTTTGTTTGTTGATAGAGAGCATGAATTAAAAATTTTAGTAGTGAAAATTTATTGGCAGTATTGTTTGAACTTAGGATAGGAAATAATGAAATCTGATTTAAACGTAAGGTAAGCAAATGTAAATGATTACTTAAATTTAGTAACCCGACTCGTCAAAGAAAGAACTTTTCAAAGCAGAGGTTCACGGTTGCGAAAGGGTGTTTTAAATGTTGGAATATTTCTTTATTTTTTCAAAATTTATGAAACAAAATTGGCAACACCCACCTTAGAGCGACAACGACTAGACTTTCATTGCAAGTGACTACGTGGTAGCTATACGTTTCTCCAGTTTGATATTGGAGAAGTAAGGGTACAAAAAGGAATAGGCTTTTTCATTTTGGTCTAAAAAGGATCACGGAGCATATGAAGTCAATGACTTGTCACACTTAAATCATTTTATTCTTTCTTGACCCTTCCAAATTACAAAAGATCAGAAGAGTTAGTGGTTTCTAGAGCAGAGAAGTAGTCAATTGTAATAGTAGTGTAAAATATATTGTCATCCTCGTATATCGAAAAAAGATTAGGATTTAAATCAAGAGGATTCCTTAGAATCCTTTTGATTTAAGTCCCATTATCTTGAGATTGAGAATTGACAGGGAAGTATGGATGTTATTGAAGTAATTTAATTGTGGCAGTTTGACTTCTCCCGATAATCGATGGTAGATTATTGTTATGCAAATATCATATAGTTTTACGAGATAGTGAAAAATATACTAATATTGCATTTTTTAACTACTAATTTAGTCAATGTCGTTATTTGTTTGAAACAGATTACTGAATTTCAGAATCAGGCTCCTTATGGTTTGCCGTTCGGTAGGATGCCCAGCGGACCGATGGATGCTCGTTCAATGTCGCCGACCTATGCAGCATTCGTCATGCAACAGGCGGCACAAACTATGTCACCAACCTTCGAAATGTATAGGAATTTCCCTTTTGGGCCTGCGTCTCCAAGTTCCCTATTCCAGGTTTGTGTGTTTTACTCGTCATAGCTAACGTTTTTCAGTGCTTTGCTATTTTCTCGAAATTGGGAGAAGGGGGGGGGGGGTTAATAAACTGGCGATATTAAGTAGTTGAGCAAACTTATCGCTGTGGTCTTAGTAGCTGGGTAAAGATGTTCTGGAAGAGGTGCGAAGTGGAGAAATACTGGCATGAGTCTATTGAAGGGTAGTGGAGTGGGTACAGCTACCCCCAAGGGTAACCCGTTGGCGGCAGCTACAATGATGCGCAATATGCAAAATGCGGCTGCAGCGGCCGCAGCATCTCCGCATCCACTGAATTCAATAAACCAAATGCGATTACCTCAGATGGGTTCACCGATCACCTCCATGGCCAGTAACTTAGCCCAACAGCCGAGTAGTAATTCACGTGGCAGTGCTAACAATACCAAGACTGCGAAGAGCGAAAGCAAACCGCCCAAAGTTAAGGTAGGTGTTATTTCAGTTTACTTGTTTCCAATCCTGTTGTAACTGCCCATTTCGTTTGCTGTTGCGATGAAACTGATTTTTCATTGATTCAGCTCGCCATTCACAGAGCATCAAATGAGCAATTGAAACTCGTTCAGTGTACTTTCTTATCAACGAGTTTTGAGTGAATTTTTCTCGTGGTAGTTATGGGGATTCACGTACAAGTTTTTTTTAAAAGATTTGTTTTGAAGAAAAAGAATTATTTGTTTACTGGAAAAATTTGTTTATTTAGCCACTTATAAATTCCAGTTTTTGTAGGAGCAGCACATCAAGAAGCCTTTGAATGCATTTATGTGGTTCATGAAAGAAAATAGGCCGAAATTAATGGAAGAACTAGATTATAAAGAAAGGCAAAGTGCCGAACTCAACAAGGTTACTTACCTAACTTAATCTAAATTCTGTGTTCTAAAGCAAAGTTCAGAGTACATGAAAAAGGATTAAGATTTTTTATGCGTGCACTTTACTGTCTTCAAAGGTATTTCATATTAAAGCAATATATTCGAAAATGCTATAGGAACTTGGCAGGAGGTGGCACGATTTACCAAAAGAAGAACAACAAAGGTATTATGAGCTTGCTAAAACGGATCGCGAACAACATATGCAGAAATATCCTGGGTGGTCGGCTCGTGAAAATTATGCGATCAATAAGAAGAAAAAACGGAAACGCGATAAATCTATTGGTGGGTGAGCTGCATCAAAATATATTTTATGTGTTCATTCATCATTCTGCAGGTGCTTGTAATCTAGTTTATTTATCATAAAATGGTAAGAAATTGCAGATAATGGCGAACAGAAAAAATGCCGGGCTCGGTTTGGTGTTGTAAATCAGGACCAGTGGTGTAAGCACTGTAAAAGGAAAAAGAGATGCCTTTGGTATCGCGAGGTGAGCTGAGCTTTAACTCGTCATTCACTTTTGATGTTTCGTGAATTGTGGATTAGTTGGACATATAAGCCATCTGGGTGTGCGGGTACCAACAGGCCGAAACACTTATTTGGAACATTACTAATTCCAAATGTTCGCTCTCTTTGCTTTCTTCATGATGGTGGTACTCCTACCCTGTAAATTGTAAGACTGTTATCAGCCCATAGCAGGATTGTAAACATTTGAGGTTGGCAGTAATATGCATTTGCTTTCCTTTTAAGTTTTTATGAAGTTTTTCCTAAAGTAAAGGACAAAAGAGATCAAATCAGCATTAGGTGCCGTTGGGGAAAGTTAGGCTTCCATCAGTACCCATTTGTTTTCACGTATATATTTAGGCATCTTCACCAGTTGGAGTGGTTTCCTCGACAACACCAGGAACCCCTGGTACTCCGTCTTCACTATCTGGACCAGTTGCGGGTGGTGTATTGAGCGGTCGTGATACTGATTCAGAAAATGATATGGATGCTGCAGCTGCCGCCGCTGCTGAAAGATCTCGGTCAATGTTAAACCAGGTACCGAACGAGCAGCAGACCACTCCTCTTATTTGCTAGTAGTTCCTTATTGTATATTTATCATTCTAGGCTGTTGTTGGCATCTATTCTTGTTCGTTCAGGATCAAGAAAATTTCCCTTGCATGCTAAACCACACTCCTATTGAATAGTTATTCGCTCTTTGTAGCGCTATACCTTCACATCGCAAGAGCATCGCGAAACGAAATAGGTCAAATTATTACGCCTTGAAGATCGATTTTGTCGTTTTCGTTTTCTGATCCATAATGAACGATGCGAAGGGGTATAAATGAAAGAACAGGATGACATAACCGATATTAGCGTTGGAGCGATCAGAAACATTTGAGAATTGAAAAGAATGTTGTTGCTTGTTGTTAGCCTTAGTTACATGCTTGTCCTCGTTTTAATCGTCGTTGGTACACGGTCTTCAAAGTTTGCCTTAAGCTGTTTTCTGATGCAATCACCATTCAGTGCGCTAATTGCTCTTCATTTTCTGATGATAATGTATTGTATAGTTTAGTGCCGTCTTTTGTCGTGAGGCTTAGCGTACCCATCTTATCATAGTGTTCTAATTGGATTATATGGGAACAATCTAATCCTATGGTGAGGGATAAATGCACTACATGTCATCCTACAGATGCAGATGCTCAGTCTTGCCGTTCCTCCAACAATGATACAAAAAATCAAAGCATATTTTGGTGACAGGAAACCGACGGTTATTTTCCATGTTATCCAATTGTAAGGAGCAGTAATAGAATGAAATTGTAGTGATATTTACGACGAGAATGGCAATGGCTTCTTCGCCATAAAAACAGGGTTCCTATTGCATATGAACACATCTTTCATTGTTCTTGTTATCGTTATTATCATAATTATTACTATTATGATCTTTATGGTTATGTTTACAATTACGATTTTGATTCCCATTCTTACTGTTATCTCATTTATGTATAATTCTCATCTTTCGTCCCTCTCTTGCATTTCAGATTAGTAATGCTTTGTCGACCGGTCAAAGCCCCACTTTAGTGACTGGCGTTTTCGACGACTCCATGCATCACATTGCATGAGAATGTCAGGAGGAAAACCAATTGTATTTACCTTTAAAAGGTCGAGTTTTAACCTGTTCTCCGGTAATCAGAGCTGAGCTTTGACAGGTCTAATTGCAGTAGTTCTCACTAAAATTATGCGGGAAGCTTTGATTTGCGTTGTATTTTTAAATACTGATATTTTTGTTACGGCATTTTCTCGTATTTTGCGCATTTGCCACTATGTGGACAGTACTGGGGAACAACTTTCTTCTGCGGCTGACTTTTTTTTCAGATTTGACCGACATGTCACTGGGATCGTTGTTAAACCTCAGCAATAACAATTTAATGAAGTCTGTGTACACAACTGATGGGAGCCAAACTGCAGTTTGGAACCATCAGTCACTTTTTTATCCAGCACAATAAACATACGTCGTTTGAAGCAAGATCGCATTTATTAATCCATATTTGAAGTAGAGAAGTGGGAAGCGATTGGTCAGATGGAGAAAGGCATTAAGATTTTTGCTGAGAACACAGGAGATACAAACATGCAGGCGATGCAGATCACTGAAAAGACGAAAGTGTGTTCTTAAAAAATACGATTTTAAGATCGGAAATGCAAAATCAGCTAATGACGGACCTGTTGGGCGCGTGAGGTTAATAGAAGGAATTAGCTGGTACTCCTGGATCTGAGTGTAAAACAAATCTTCAGTTCATATCTAATGGTAATCCCGCAGTTTTCTATTCAATTCTTCCCCTTTTGATTTCTCCAGCAAAGTTATCAACTTCGACTCCATAAGAGAGGGACCTGATCCGGTAGTGGATTTGCAAGCCTTTTTCCTGCGAAAGCTAACAGGCAACATTGGAACATCAGCATCGCCAACCCGTGAGAAGCGCGAAAGTGTACGAGAATCAGCGCTGTACACATGGGGACGCGGGGACACGCGACATAATTCAATTACGTAATATGTATTGCAGGGATCACATGTCCACATTTGCTGCTCACGCAGATGAAGTACGGAGAATTGCTAGGAAGAGGATATGATATTATGAATTCTGAACTCTGACCCTGTTTTATCCCTCACTGATTAAACATATCACTGGAACAATAAACATATCGGACCGCACTGTAAAAATCCTTCCAGTTTTCAGTAAGACTAAGTCGAGGTTACATCTTCTAATCAAAAATACCCACAGCTGGTGAAATACATCAGGCCGTTTTTACGTCCCAGGTCCATTGCTCTAGTCACTATGACTTTTCGGAAATATCTGGCATCCTCCGCGATAAATTAGTTTCAAATACTCCTTGTCGCGAAAATACATCCTCAATTCCCGAATTTCTGCCATAATTAGTTTTTATTTAGTCTATCACTGAAGTAATATAGCCTGTATTTTCTTAACAGTGTATCCTTCACCCATAATATATCCCTACTACTACCTACCGCCATATAGCACGAAGGAAAACCAAGAGTTTCCTTTTTTCTTTAGCCGCTAAAATTTTGCTCGTGAACAAGAAAAATATATAGAGAAGACAAGAAGCGAAAAATCACTGGAAAGAAGCAAAAAGTAGTCCAAGTCTGGGAAAACATAATTATACAACAAAACAAAAAATCGTAATGTGCACATTATCTAAACTACACGAGATGACAACACAAAAAAATTACCAATCACATTGAGAGTTTTTACCGCGTATGAAATAATAAATATATATATACAAAGATGGACAGATAGCTAGCTATTTAAACAATTGTTATCATACAATAAAAATAATTACAGCTTTCCTAAAAATGACTATCAATTTCATGTATAAATAAACAAACAATAACACATTATACAATAAATGCACATACAGTAAGAGTGCTTAAATCACGAGAGAGATGAAAAGTGCTCCTATTTCGCACCCCCTACTTCCGTGGTTAGATGCGAGTATATAAGTATGTAAGATTTCAAATTCTTATTCCAATCAGAATAGCTCAGTGGCCGCAGGTTTTAGAAGTGCAGTAAGCCAATAAGAGCACGGGTAAAAGAGCAAAGCAACAACCTCTGTAAATGAAGTAAAAAAAAAAAAAAAATTTAAACTAAAGATTTAACTACCTCATTAAGTAATTCTGATTGATAGCGTTAAGATTCACTTGATAAAGATGAACAACTTGCCTGTATCCATATAGCATACATCCGTAGTGGTTGAAGAAATCTGGAAACGCTGTAAGAGCCTAATTCCAGTTCGATGCTCACTTGTGTCACTAATTGAAATTCGGATACATATCAGCTCCAACAACCCATTACACGCCACCTCACTATTGGTCACCTAACCCTTTGCCAAAGATCTAGGTTATGCATGCCATCCTTAATTGAAACACTAAATAAGTAGTTCGGAGTACCGGATAACATACTTCCCCATGCACCACTCTAAAAAGTTAATATCTCCCATCCCACTAAAATGAAGGATATTCTCTCCTATAGACGAAGAGTATTAAAAACACCTGTGGACACGTCGGAAGTGATAAGTGCGTCGTAAGAGCAATATTGCAACACATAAAAGTTGTTATATTGGCCCCAGAAATATAACAAATTGCTACCCAGAAAAACCGATTTCCCAGAAAGACTGGATGGAAATATGCAATAAAAATGATGAATGAAACGACTTTCTCTGGAAAAAGATGACAGCACTGTTAGTACGGAAAATGTACCAACAGGGAGTGGTTCAAGATGTTTGCAGCAATCTGAAAATTCATCCATTTATGAAAAATAAAAAGAAGTCCGAAGAAAACATTTTACATGGAATAATGGAGTAGAAAAAGAAAAACATGCAAAGAATTCTCCCACACCGTATCTCAATAAGGGAATACAACACCAGGCCCAATATAGAAGAGATTACCATACTTCAATAAAACTATCTTTCTGTCCTCGGTTTGTTGTGCGACCTTCGAGTCAGGAGATAATCTGTGACTCTCCGGACTTACCTTACAACCTCATCGATATACCCGAAATAAAAAATCTAACTTACCCATTATTTTGCTTTAGCGTCTGTGCATAACTTTTCCTTTCTTTCGCTTCCTTCTTCTCTTCTCTTTTACCAGCGGCTACTGAACTGAATGTTGGCTTACTCCGCGATTTTGATTCTTTCACCTCCACCACTGGAGATGTTTCTTCAGAAAGACAAGGAAACGCACCCTGAAACACTTGTATCATTTCTTTATTTATATATACACTCTTTGGACGAACAAACTGAAGTTTAAGTAATTAACACTATCATTACGGTGCTTCATCAATTTAATAAGATAACCTCCTCAAAGCTGTATTCCGTATCGACGGTTTTACGAGAACTGCTCCTCTCTAGTTTGGAATCATCATCGCTAGCTGTTTTTGAACAACACTGCTGCTCTTCACTTTTTTTGTCTTCTTCTGGCGGTAGGCAAATTATCGGAGGGCATATTACACTTTTATTATTCCCCGACGAAATTCCAGATAACGGAATATCCCTTTGCTTACGCCGTTGTTGCCGTGTCTGCATATTTCTAAAAACAATCAGTTGAATATAAGGCGATGTATATGGATACCAAATGATAAAGCGTCTTCCGTGACTAAGAACCTTATCCACGATTAAAGAACCTTGAAAGTATGTTTCCAACAATTCTTCAAAGTGATTACCACCAAATATGCAAAGCGTTACCGGCCGCTCGATTGATCGTAGTCGCAGCGCCGCTGCATGTTATCGTTTTGATTAGCCTTTTGTGATTCAACTGGTGTCCGACTCCGCATTGTACCTGGAATGACCATGTACATTCCTACGATGATAGTCTTATAACGAAATCTCCGCTTAAATAAATACACATGCATTGAGAAACCGACTAGAATAAAAATTATTAAGACGATTCTGCCGGCCCCGGGAACGAACAGAAGTTGGAGGATCGTTGTTTCTTTCTCGATAACCATCACGATGAGCATCACCATGGTTTTTGTTTCGTCGACCTCCTCCGTGGTCGTAATTACTTGTACAAAAATCACGATGATCGCTGGTGCAAACTCGCTGATTATATACGAAACCACCTCGTGCTTTGGAACTGGAACCTAAAAATACGAACCATAAAGTGTATATTGAAAGGTTTTCCTTATATCAGAATAAAGCGTATCAGCAGTGACGGAAATGAGATAACAAGACAAACCTCGAAAATTACAACTATTTGGTCCAGCAGAGCAAGTACCTCGCAGTCGATGGTTGGCACTTCGATTAGCAGTTGTACCGACAGTAGAGCTAATATGAACAACCGTTGTACCAGGCTTGAAAGTCGCACATGGTACATACCCGTAACTAGCCAGGATTTGGCCCAGATCGAAACTATCTGCAATAATAGCCAATTAATTTCATCCCTATTATAACGCAAATGAAATTAAGAAAAGTAAATAGAACATGACAAATACCAGATGAACACGGTGAAGGAATGGGCACGACGGGAACGGACACAGCGGGGTCGCCCGAAACCTCCGACGGTACAGCAGACGGAGATCGATCCCGAATCAAGTTCAACGGTTCTGAATATGGTGCGCCACCTGTTTTTATTCGTGCCTGAAACTACTGATGCAGTATGAATAAGGAATAAAGAATAGACTAAGGCTTTCTAGTCAGATAACAAATGCTTGTGAACTACTAAAAATGTAGAATTAAAATTTGGATCAACTAGTGAGTGATTAGTTCGTTTGACTCATCTTATTCATTGAATGTTATCAAACAGTGTATATGTTGGAAGGAATACACCATAATCACGACTTCTTGCAACTATGTATAGGAGCTCCATTTGGATAAAGACCACTCACTGGTAAAACTAAAATATTACGATGCAACTAATTAGTAAGCCTACAGTTTCCCGATGGAGTTTTTCGATTACTAACAGATCATTTCAAACTTTGGAACTCTCTCTAATTCATAAAACGATATAGTACGTTTAAGAACACAGCTGACATAGTCCACCACTACGATATTACTTACCTTCAAAACTGTAATGCTCTACCAGTCTATCTGTTAATATTCTGAAAGAGAATATTGCAAACGGGACGACAAACAGAGCCTAGAGCTCATAAATTATTTTAATAGAAATCTGTCATTAAAACAACGGATTATGAAATACTTACACAGATCGGTTTGTTATTTAAAGTTTTGCCGAGATTCTGCAAGTGCAAGAATGCACGTTCCGTAGCTTCTTCCGACTCGAACGTTACATACCAGCTATTATTGAGGCCGTATTGCAGGCTCAGATATGGTGGTCCACCAGTGAACATTGATGCCACCTCCTAAATTCTTACAGCACAATCACTTTCAGTGCATTTCGCCTTCCAATAATTTCTGAGAAAATGCATCAGAATTTCCTTCGTACATTCTTTTTAAGATTTATAGGATGATTGAAATGCTGGATGGAGGACGATTTAGTATCCTAAAAATCTCCCATTTCTATCACTCTTTAACACTACCCTTAAAAAAACAGAACAACAAGAGACAGATTATTCACATGATTTTCCCTGATTCCATAACATAGAACAGAACAGCAAAGACAGCGAAACAAATTCTGTGTAACTCTTATAAAACACAAATTGAAAATATAGAATTTAGAAGGTATATCAGAAGTGGAAGAATAGGGAGTTCACTGAGTCAATAATTCATGATAGAAAGGAAAAATATCAACCAAACTGGTGTAGTTGCCTGATGTGCGACAAGAAATAGATTATACATTCCAAAAAAAGAAGACAGAAGTACCTTTTCATCGGTCGACTCAGGTATTTCACGCAGGATAATAGTGCATCGTTTTGAAACGGCTCGTACCCGTTGTCCTTTTTCGTCAACTTGCACCTGAGATGATTCTGCAAATAAAAATAAAATAGAATCTTGATAGGCGTTTAACGGAACTTGCAATTCAATATGTCTAAATAACCTAATAAAACTAATGATTACAACTATACATGAAGAAAAATGAAAACGGTTGATTTTTTTGAATAGCAATTTCCATTTATTCTTTGCTATAACCGTTAGTAGAATTCTGCTAGGAACTATAGTTCAGCATCATTAGGAAGGCGTCGATCCGGATTATGCGAGCTCATCCTACTTTCTACAACTTATTCTGAATAATCTTATGGAGGATGATAGAAATGAGCAAAAAAAAGTTAGCACAACACTACGAATGGTCAGAAAGAAACCTCGCAGCACTTTTACAACCAAACTGTAGTCACTGGTGAGTCGCTTAATTTTTGGGAAGCTAGCAATGATTCGTATCGGTACATACTGGTCGTTGTCCATCTGACATCGCAGAAACTTATCGGTCATCAGATTTTCTCTGAAAATAGAATCTGAAGCATAGTAAACTTCAACAATAATGAATTTGAGGCATTTATGAACTAAATTGATAACCCGTTCCTCAGATTTTCTAATGGAAGCCACTTACCTTGAAAAATAATACTCTAGCTGAGCTTTAAGCTGCTGCTTGATTTGTTCGGGAGACTGAGATATGACTGTATTGGAAGTTATTCGCTGAGTCGGTGCAGCTACTACTGCTAGAGATAGTGGTGGTAGTGGGGGTGGTGGTGGTAGTGAGGGTGGTGGTGGTGGTAGTGGGGGAGGTGGTGGTGGTGGTGGTGGTGGTGGCGGTGGTGGTGGTGGTGCCGACGGTGCAAGAAGTGTTGTGGACATGCTCATCGGCACCTGAATGATAGGTGAATCCGATGCAGCCAAGAGTTGATTTTCGCATTCCGTTGTAAACCACCAAGGTAACATTGGTGTAGGAGGTGTGTCGCACTCACCAGATGGCACTATCATGTCGTCCAACATCCGATCAATACTACTAGAATTCACCTAAAATTATAACGAATCACGTTAGATACTACTCAATCTGTGTAGGTATTTCAGTAAAACTTACTTGTTAAGAATACTTTAAACAAATCATTAGCATTTTTTATTTTAACAACGTCGAACGGAACTTGAAAAATGAACTCCTACCCAAACAAACCCTCTTATATTAATCAGAACTATTCTACCTTCCCAATTTCGATCTTTACGATGAAGTGAGATAGAAGCTACAAGTTACCCTACTCGATGGCTGATTTGTATTTTTGAAACTGTAGAGCAAATTTTCCAGTGAAAACTGCACACTGTTATCCCAGCAGTCCAAGAAATATGCAAAACCCTTCTCAAAATAGATTTGGTTATTCTTCTGAAATACCACAAATTTCCGTAAAGTCTATTCCGAGAGAGTAAGAATATGACAAATCCTAATTACGAGAGCACCTAGCAGCAATGTAACTGCTATTATTCCCATCGTAACGGAAATGATTCTCCACTTCCAGACAATAACGACAGTTACAAACTAATTGCCAGCAGAGTAAAACAAGCCATCTCTAATGTCTCTCATAACATTAACAACGACAATGTAAGAGTGCTTATCCTAGCGACCAGATGAAAGATCATACTCCTTTTCTGTGATTGCCAGTATGATCCAACTTTTGAAAGTTAGAGAATTCGGTCAGCATAAACCACTATGCTACTTTCTAATTTCGAAAAATGCATGCAGAAAATTAATAAAACCAATGCCTATACAACTTCCAGTAAGCGTAAGAAACAATCAAAACCAAATTCCAATCTTGGTTTTGATTGTTTCTTACGCCTGAAAAAGTCTTGAAAAAGACGGAAATCACTCAACCTATTCTATCTGCATGGTAAGGCACACAAAGAAAGAGAGTAAGAAGAATAAAAAACTGACAAGAAAATTCGAAAAAAAAGCTCGACAAAAGTAACAAGAAATATAGGTGAATGGAGTGTCACTGACCATGATTCTATAGATATTCTTTTTCAAAATAACTTCACAACAGCACCGTTTTTGAAGGACTGATTGTAGGGTACACTTTATCTTTTCAATACTTCTGGTTTCTACAGATGAACAAGGAGTACAAGACACGGATAATGTACCTAGTTCTGCTTACTAGAGAGATGCACAAAGAAGCACACACGCATCTGGAATTGCATATTTGATGAAAGTACAACAAAGATATAATGGAAGGTCAAACCCGTTGGATGATATAGCAACGGGGTGACGTTTCGGTGCACATAAAGAATGCGCCCGGTTCTCCCTGTTCATTGATGACAGCCATCCTTCAAGCCATAATTGACATTTATATTGACTAATTACTGCAATTGATGGCTGTCGAGGTAATAGTAAAATTGCTGTTGTTATTGTTCGCTGAGTAATAACTGGACGACTTTAGCGTGCAACAGGAAAAAGCGCTGAGAGGGGCAATAAACGATTCTGATAATGATGATACTGTCAATGATACCAACGATAATGAGCAATGGAACAACAACTGTACCATCCTGCAAATATATATCGCCACTGATTCGCTGTCATAACGATGACGTCACATTAGGATAACGCAATACGATTCAGTCGACGCGAACTATCCTCACCCTGATACCAGCTTCAGTTTACTTCATGCAATATATTCAACTTGCCACTAATCATGTATCATTTCCATATAATACTGCAGTATGCAAATTATTATGCTGATCATCCAGCGAAGTGCTAGCACTAAAAGAAAGGGAAGAGATGTGCATGCATGCATGCATGCATGTATATGCATTGTGCAAATGTAAATGAACATAAAATAGGGACGAGTTTGCATGCATACCGCATATCCTCAAATGCGGATTTAAAGAGAGCGGTAATGACAGAGAGAGAGAGAGAGAGAAAGAAAAGAAAGAGAGGGAGAAAGCAAGGCACTAAGGAGATTCGCTAAATCCCGGAATGCAGTAGGTTTTTCTTCTACAAAAGAGGCATAAGTTAAATTTCTTTTTCTGGCTCATTAAATGGCTAAGGTATGCTGTTCTTACCTTATCTGATGTACGCTAAATAACTCAGTTAACTCTCCTGTGTACCTATGACTACCTACAGTTGATATCAGTAATAGATCATTTAGTGTTTCGTACCCTCTTAATTGTCTTACTTCAAACATAGACAGTTTAACTGTTGTTGAATTCAAGTTGGGTGAAGGATACATGCACTGAAAAACACTGCAACTTGGAGAAAAGCGAAAGAGCTACACAATCTTATGATCAAGTGACAGTATATATCGGAGATTCATGTGGAAATGCAGGTACCACGAACATACAATTGAATATTTAGAGTAAGGAGGGAGTGATAACATATTATTGATCGAAATCACCATCATCCATGTACTCTTTGAGCAAATGCCGACGATATAATACAACAGAAAATGTGCAGAGGAGAATGGCTACATCACATGCAATCAGATAACATTCGCCCCTAATGCAATGGATACACACATACCCATCTACACACTTATGCTTATCCACGTGTAAATGCTCGCACATTACCACATACACTTGCATCTTGCATGGAACATTAATCCATTCATTAAGCAATACATATATATAGGAGACGCAACGCAAATATACGCAATAAAGTATGACATTGTTACACATATGACCCTTGACCTCAGTAGGTACAGCAAAACTTTTAGAGGACATAAGAGAAGTTCGGTACATAAGGTACATTTGCCCGAAATCATATATAAGATCGCTACCTTTGTTGCGGGAATTTATTTGTATTGGAGAGAAAGAAGGAGAGAGTGACCCATTAGGAGATACTAATGAATTTTGGAGAGAGAGAGAGAGAGAGAGAGGCTTGGCATATGGCAATGATGTCAGGCATATGTATAATAATAATATGTAATAATCAGTTTGAGAGGGAAAGAGAGAGCACCATCGTCTGCGACAATGACGACAGCAGAATCAAATAGAACCTCCTCGTATGGGTAGCATCGCAAAGAGAGAGGATGGCAAGGATCCATGCCACCCTGTACACCTCTCCCTCTTTTACCCCATTCTCCTGCTCATCTATACGTTTGATATTGTTATGAAAAATGGAATGATACCCACCAACAACGGAATGGCATTTGTGAATTTGCTGTCATTGTCGTGGAACTGCTGTAGGATAATGTAATGGTACGGTGACCAAAGTATCTCTTCTATTCTTGCTCTTGAGGATTTCGAGAGCAGAAGAGCGGAAAAGATGAAAGAGGCAGTGAACTTACTAGCAAGAAAGAGAAAAAAAGCTTTGCAAATAAACGAAAGGGCAAGAATTAATCACTTTACCATAGTATTATCCATCCAATTGCTACAAATAAAGCACTTGATATGATCCTTACTCGCTCTGCAGTCCCACATGTTTCATTTCCGGTATCTCTTATGAATTTAAGTACTCCAAAATACTCTAGGCCAGTTATGTATTTATCTTTATGTTGTTGATCTGCGTTTCTGCTTGTCTTTTTAAGTAATGGGAAAATTGGCTTTCCGAACTTGCACCTTGAACTTCAGGCTACCATTCTTTTGCCACATTGGAGGGGGATGCAACGCGGTGGCTGTATCACTTACCCATCTGAGGCTGGTTATACTCATAGCTTCTGTATCCTGTTGATTTCAATCATAATGATGGTAATCTACCGTTGATACCACTTCTTTTCTCTCTCTCCCTAATCGATCTTAAAGAAAATGCAAAAAAAGACAACCATATATAAGGGGTGAATTCGAGAATACAGAAACACAGAAAATTTGATGAAAGTGTATGACACGTGAGAAAGGACCTGTCAGTGAGTTGTCGATGATCACTGATCTTCAAAGGGCGTAAGATAAGTACTGAAGGATTCTGCGAAAAAGTGTCGGGAAATTCTAGTAAGATGCCTTTGGAGGTCGAGTTGCACATTAGTTCTGATAAGTGTCTCACCTGCCTCTCAAAAGCATGCCCTTTTGCACCTGTTGTCAAGAAGATTGCACTGATCCCGTGCATCTCTAAACCTAAATTCCCAAGAGAGAAGTAAGCCTGAAAGCCTGCATGCCTTTTAAGGCAAGACACGATCACATTTATCCTAAATGAAAAACGTAATTCTGATCCCAATGAAGCAATTCGGCGTGTTGTTCAGCGCTGCAGTATCACGTCATATGAAAAAATGTTGCTGCTGCATTGACATGGGAAATGAGATGGCCTCACAAAGTGAGCCTGCCTGCTTCTTCGTCCCTAGAAGACTTACTGACAGCTTTGCTCAGTCTATCCAATGAATAAGGCTCTTAATTTTCTTCCCACCCTATCACATTTGTAGGTGACATATGGGAGCTCCAAAGTTCTACAAACATATATACACCAGACATACATGCACAGACGCACACATAGAGATTAGTGCAGGTAAGCATGACGTTATGAAATGCACCTTATGCATTGCAGGATACGGTTGCCTTGAAATACGTCATTTTTCCATATCAGTCGTCCACCCACTCCTCCTCCTTCTCCTTCCTTCTCCTTTTCCTTCCTCCTCTTTCTCCTTCCTCCTCCTCTTCCTCCTTCTCCTCTTCCTCCTTCTTCTTCTAAAGACATCATCTTTCTCCAACCGATTTATCCGAATTTCGGATCGCTGTTCAACTGTGCTATTTTTCCTCGAAGACTTACGAATGTTGCTAAAGTGTTTCAGCCACTCTTTCTAAGTCTAATATCCGAAAGTGGATGGATGAAATTATGTACTTTGAAAGCTACCAGTCTTAGCATGGAACATTCTTTTATCACTTTGTGCAATGTGTTTAACGGAGTGACGTGTTACTGCTGAGTGTTGTATCATATAAGTTTTTCTACAACTAGTGGTTACCTGAAGGATCAGTGAAGTGTACCTGGACCTTTTATTACGAGTAACTTTGTAGGTGGAAAATTCTGCTACAAAAATATAAGTTATTGAGGTTATCAATCGGAGTCATCTGATTAACTTTTAATCTTATATCCTTAATTGAGGTATGCAGAAGGACAGCAAGAATCTGATTAGATACTAACAAGAAAATAAGTGGTTGTTGCCATCTAGGTCGTCTACTTCACGTGCGTAACTGTCAGATGTGATAAATGAATTGCTCTAAGCGCCTATGAACAGGATGAAGAGTAAAGAAGCTGCAAATGCTTTAACAAGAGCATTGAATTCTTCGATCGTTAGTCTGGAAGAAGAAAGCAGGAACTGTCCTTTGTTCGCCAGATTCTAGTACACTGAATCTTGCAATAATAACTTTTAATTACTTTCATCCGATTTGGAGCGGCCTTGGAAAGAAGGTACAGGTAATTCATTGAGAATGTAAATAAAAATAATGATAATGGATATATTTTCTCTAATAAGAACCTGCAAAATACAAACGTGTAAAATGACATTCGAATTACGATTCAGCAACATCACTCGTCAGGAAAGGGCGATTTATTGTCACCCATTCGTTTATTCATCCATTTTAAACCATTTCGCTCACTTATCATTTTAAAAAGCATAATTTTTCAAAAGACACTATACAATTTTGACCACAGTAAGAATCCTTTTGGTACACACTAAGCTAACAAAAATATATTTTAAATCAGTAATTGATTTTGTTAATCAACGACCAAATTCCAGCACTTAAGTTTTCATTTAATCAAGCCTAGCATCTTGCTGTATCTCATTAGTTGATTGGCCAAGGATCAGTTGGTTCGACGAAGCCAAAGAAACATTCTTTGAAGGGACACATCTGGCTATCTAAATGAAGAGGAAATCAAATAGGATAATTTAAAGGTAGGTATAACGATTAAATATCATCCAGTGAATGAGTGGACGATCTTACAGCAACTAATTATAGATTCGAGCAAATAACAAACTGGTGACATCGATAGCATGGAAAAGATAGTGACATTAATAACATGGAGAATTAAGGCAACCATAGAAGAACCCATCTCTCAAGAATTGCAGTCTATCCTTTCTTAACTGGCAAACTTTACGACATGAAATTAAACTTGAAGCATAACTCCCCTTGCCGCTTTCAGTCTAACCTCATTTTCTCTTTTTCCTCTGCTTAATCCTTTATCAATAAAACCAGCGGAACAAATACATAGTAAAAAGCTAATTAGGAATTAAAAGATATATTGTCAACCGATTCGCCACAATGCTCCTTTACCACAAACAAGCGCTCTTCTTCTACTTAGACCCATCCTATCCTATATCTCTAAACTCCCCTTCCTATTACCAGACCTACGGCACACACACATGCACATATATATTTGAAGCCATGCCACCTTACATGAACATGAATATACGAACGGTTGCAGTCACATGTATTTGCATACGGAAACACACATAATACATACATACATACATACACATACATACATACATACATACATACACACACACAATACACATATACACACGCACAGACATATATATATATATATATATATATATATGCATACACGCAGAACTTCAGAGGCTAAGTGGACCAGCTTGCATTCCAATTTGGGATCTCTGGGCAACTGGGACCTATCTCTTGTTATTACACATCTTTTATTGCCTATTGCCCTATTGCTTATTAATTGTGGAATATACTTGAAGATATTTTGAGGAAGAAAAGGAGAGCGCATTTGGTCATGAGATCACATGAATTTCACGGTATCATGTCAGAAACTATGGATTCACATACGCAGTATTGGCAAACAAGCTTAGACATGAAATGTACCTTTGTTAACTTACCACAATCTTTTAGTGAATTTTTAAGGTGGACATCTCTTTGCCTTCTTTCACCTTGCAACTATGAGAGCTGAAATTCTGAAAATAGATTCGTACCAAACTATGCAAATCATACAAGTCTATGGTAGCTGTCTCATTCACTATTTGGCCAATATTGGTCTTACATGCATTCTGTCATCCAGTAGACTTGCGGTCTATCGTATTCCTTTCCTGATATGGCATCTGTATTTGTCATTTTTGCCACGTCTAACAAACACCTCACTGGCTAGCTGTCGTTGTGTCCAGTTTAATTCTACCGGTATTTTCCAGTCACCAGACTTCCCAAAAGCTCCATTATCATTATCATCATCGGTATTATCTCCATCATCAGTGATTCTGCAGCACCAATTTTTATGTTTACTGTACAAATTTATAGCTCCTGATGGATACATTATTGAATTGACTTTTGATTACTTTCACCTTTCACCACGAACCGACCGGTGAGTAATTAATAAAGAACTGTTTTTTCCACAGCAGCAATTTAGATGTAATGATTATTTAAGGTTATTTGATGGTACACCCGATGGACTGATCGATGAAAGGACCGCTTATAACGGTGAATTCTGTGCCAGAGAGGTAACATTCTTGTAACATTTCTTGGACATACATTATTGTATTTACCACACTTCACTTCACTGCTGTGGTACCATATATTTACGTGTTTTTAAGATCGAAGTTGGGCAAACATTCTATTCTCACACGAGGTATCTTATATTCCACGTGCAATTATCTGGTACTTCCAAAGGTTTTCATGGTACTTATAGTCTTATTCCCAAAGGTACCGTTGTTCAGAACAATATTTTCTATTCTTTTTGCCAAGGAATTTTGCAGACAGAAAAAAAAAATCGAATGAGGAAGTAGTTTTGAAGCAATCATTACTTCTTTTCAATTAGTTCGTTTATTGACCTTTAACCAACCTTCCAGGACGATTCCTTTCGAATGCCATTGAAATACATCCATGTAATTTCCATGTTGATGCTTTGGTTGGTAATATATTCTCGCCTAACTATCCATATTTTTATCCAACCAACACCAATTGTACATACTATTTGGCGCCTCGTCAAGGGTTTAGCTTGATGATTTCCTTGGAATATGTTAATTTGAGACGTTATGCTTGCCATGAAGACTTTATTGACATCTACCAGATGCATCCAAAAGTAAGGCTGTGGTCACTTTCATTCGTTTTATAAAATTTCAAGCATTCTTCAAGAAAGACATCTTTCCTGATGTAAAAATATGTGATGATGATTGGTTTGGGGAGAAGGATTGATAAAGCTTCAAGAAAAGTTAAACAAAAAGCGAGAAGCACTCTTATTTGTGTCTCTGGAATTTCCAAACATATTACCAAGTTCTCGAGAAATTTCTAAACATATTATCACATTATCAAGCTTTCGAGATATCATTAAGGTCCATCTCGAAAAACTCTGTTACGATTCGGTGCCACCATACCAAATTCGCACAAAGCGTGGATATATCATTGAATTTTACAGTGGTAACAACGACATAGTACGAGTGAGTTCATTGTGCTTATCAATCATTTGTATCTCTTGAGAGTTTTAAGGAATGGATTACTTGTCACTTACCTCATCATTTTATTAAAGAAAATTAATAAGTTGTCAAATTTCCTGAAATTTAATTCAATTTATGAGTATTTGTTTTTTAATCATTGGTTTTTTATTTTTTTTAATCTTTTTTTAAATCAATTTCATTTTGTTAAAAAATTTTTTTAATCAGAACTTTTGATTAAAATTTTAAGCAGAAGTTCATGAAGTTTTATTTTGCAAGATTTTTGCGCATCGGTATCAGTATTCAGTCGAGCGGTAACTTGACAATGATTGCAGAAAAGGATTGAATATTTGGTGATTTCTAAAACATAAAGGTCTTCCGATGAAATGTTGCGGTTAAAAAAAGGAAAAAAGAAAAAGTCATTAAGAGATTGGTGGAGCTGTTTGTCAAAAAAGATGATGAAACTGATAAGAGTATTTGGTGTCTTCGACCATGCAAAAGATTTGTTACTGGACAGGAAATTCGAAGATGATGATATGAACTGCACATGATTTAAAAAACGAATAATTTCGTTATCCATTTGAAATGAATGAAGGAGTAGAGGAGGAAGAGGCGGAGGAGGAGGAGGAGAGAGAGAGAGAGAGAGAGAG